GTGGTCTTTGCACTCGTCTCTGACGTTTCTGTAGTTTTCAATGTATTTAATTTTCTTCTAGTAAGTGTCCAGCTCTTGCGCCTTTATATATTTTACATATATATAACATCTTACATATTCTTATATAGTCTTGCATATTTTTTCCCCCTCTGCAAATGGTTAACAGACACTTTCACTATGGGTGCCTGTCCATTTATCTTCAGATAGTGTTTTCTCTGTTTTCATGAAGTCTAATGCTCTGTGTCTATTTGTAGGTTTGGTAGTAGACCTACCTAGCTAAGGAGTTTAAGTTCTAAGGTGGAAGCTTGGAACAGGAGGAGCCTCATCCCCAAAAGTTTGTTGGATACTGCTTTTATTGTCATGTTTTTTGTGTGCATGTTTTATTTTGACGCATCATTGAGCTACCCGTTCTTCAGGCTGATCTAGATGATAATTTGATAAATGAAAAGGTTGGTCATTGGTTCATTTATACTTAACATGTGAAAGAGTGTTTTTGAGTTGGTGTCAGGTTTTGCTTTTATCCCTTGCTCAGATTGAGGAAAAAACAAGGCGTTGCCTCTTTATTTTATGAAACAGTAAAAATTTAATCATGAAGCGGGATTGATCATTCTTCTTGTAACTGAAAGAGGGCACAGCTACTTGGACCATCTGTATGCCTATAAAACCATCTATGTGTCTTTAGTCAAAGTACTTGACTGTTGTCTTTTTTTGCACAGATGATCCTCTTATCTGAGGAGCTCCATAACATTCTGATTTAGCTTCAAATTTGGCTTGATTAATTTTTGTTCAGCTTTCTAGAATTTGGCTAAAGCATCAGTATTTGTTTTTTCTAGTTACTGCAGGTTGAATGTGTCCTGTATATTTTTGCATTGATGGTTGAACCTTGGGGCTGCGCCAGCTGTGCCAGGGCAGTGGAAGGTGATGCGAAGGGGAAACACAGAGCCAGGGAGGAGTTGGGAAAGGGGCTGCTCTAGCAGCACTGCTGCCAGCTGGGAAACTAAAGTCTAAGGGAATGGGCCCGTGAGGTGCAGTGAACCCACTGAACAGCTTATCACTCTCAAAAGGGGGAATTCCTGCTTCCTCCTTCCTGTCTGCATGTTCGCACTTCTCTTGTGCTGGTCTTGGCACATGACAGGCCTCTTTGTAAGCTGAATTAACTTGCTAACCTTGGGAAAACAAATGCAGCCAAATAGCCCCAGCCCCTAATCCCTGCGTTTTCTTTCCTAGAGAATTTGTCTCTCCTAGATGAATGAGTTAAATCAGCCCGTGGAAGGCTCTGACAGGTGCCCGAGCTGCCACGTGGGGTATCGCAGCGTGGGGTGAAGAAGGGAGCAGCGCAGGGAAGGTGGGAAGGGGAACAAGCCTTTCCCTTTCGGTGGCTGTTGCTTCAGCTGCCGATCGAAGGGTGTCCGAACTTCACAAAGTCTCTTGAGCAGGATCGGTGGTCAGTGAGAACTAGCTTCTCTACTTCAGTAGGCGGTTAACTCTGAAACTTGAATGTAGCGATTTGTTAGCATTAACTGCCTATTGCTAGTTATATCAGTAGAACCAACCAAATCACGCTTATTCCAGAAGTAAAAACATTGAAAATGTAGCAGTCCAACAGCTGAATCTCCAGCTTCTGGTTATTACTTTGAGGCACTTGTCATATATTGATTTTAAGCACAACATAAAAGTAAATGTGTGGTCCATCGAACAGATTACCTGTGGGGTTCCTGTTCTTTAATTTGCTAGATTCTCGGAGCTGCGGAATTTCTACCCGATTTATCCATAGTTCACAGAGGCTTTCAGTAACGTCTGGTTTAAAAATGCCATCGTGGTCATTGTAATGTTCAGTGTTTCCAGCCTAACTGATGTGGGCATGCTTTCTTCTTACGTTTATGGATGTTAATCAATCCTACTTCTCATGAAGGAGCAGATATGCTACTTCAATCAAGTAGAGCACCAGTGAAAGCAGTAGGGGTCTATGGCTGTTGAGCTTTCCACTTGCTTGCTGCACACTATAAAATGAGAGTTATTTCTGGTGATAAGAATGCAACTGAGGAGTAAAGATTGTGCTTTGGCAGACAAATATTTGAGATTAACCCCACTGAAACAGCTATTTATGCTTTTTTTATTTGTAACCAATTTTGACTTCATAATTTTTTCCAGTTCGCTTCATCAAATTCAGATGTATTTCAATAGTTACATCATTCTTAAAACTTTTGAGTTGTCAAAAACAACAAGAAATAATGTTTCAATAGGCTTTTCCAGGAGCTTTAAAGTATTCGTACACTGAGGACTTAACCCTTACACTCCCCCACTCCCTTTCTAGGGCATTGTCTTTCTGCCTTTGTTCTAGATAGATGAGGATGAAAGGAGATGACCTGTTTTGATTCAAGGCTTTCTTCTTAAGCTTCATCAATTCAGAGCATATTTTCTAGATATAAACCTAACTTTGTTAGATTCCCAGTTCTTCTCTTCCTTTGGTCTGTGAGATCCAATTTGCAGATGCTTCCCCTCTTCCTGCAGCTGTGAAGTAATGCTCATTAAGGAACACAATAGGAAGTATTCCTTGTGGTTTAAATGACCTCCCTCCTGGTAGCATCGTTTCCAGGACAGCCATGATGTTTTGTAAATTATATATTAAAAGGATTTCTTCTGTGCATGTATCTTAGTAAATATAAGTGCTCATATTAAAGTAGATATTTGGAAAACCTCTCTGCAAGTAGGAGAGTTAAGAGCTGATATTGTTTAGGGAAAATTTGGAGCCCTTACTGGAGGCTTTGTAAAAACGTGAGTTTGCTTTTGGCATATTAAAAAAATACCCCTTTGAAAGAGGATGAGTAAAGGTGAGGTAAAGTTTAGTAATACCAAGCTATTTAGGGTAGTACAAATGAAGATCTGCATTGAACAATTGTAGAAGGATCTTATAAGGATGAATGACTGTGCAATAAAATGGCTAATTAAATTCAGTTTAGATAAACCTTAAGTGATACCTTTAATATGGAGAAAAATATATGTAACTTCTCAAAGCCCATCATCTTTATCTGCATGGGTGATTACCACCCAAAAGTGAGATCTTAGCCTTGCGATAAAAAACTCCATGAAAACCTCAGCTCAGTGCTGGGTGTCAGTCAAAAAAAGCAAAAAGCTATAATTTACCCATATATTAAATGCTATTGGAGTTGTGATCCCCCTGTCTCAAAAAAAGATTATAGCAGAACTGTTCAACAATGTTCAAAACAAGCAATTAGTTACGTTCTCAGTGCAACAGATCACTGACCAGGGAACTTCTTGTCAAAGGCTGTGACTGATTAAATTTTAAATAGTTTGACGGGTTAGGCAAGCGTATGGAGACTTGTCTGTTGAGGATTGCGAAGTACATGGAAACCACATCTACCTTGAGAAGTGTTTCATCTAATAATGGTTAAAGGCTGGGCAAATATTAAGGGGAAGTGTCATATTTGTTTGCCTTGTTCTTATTCTGTGCCCTAGGCATCTGCTTTTGGCCACTATGTGAGATGGGTTACTGGGCTAGACGGCTCTTTACCCTAATTCAGTATGGCCAGTCTTACGGGTTTGAGGATGGGCTCAGTAACATATCAGAATCCTCCCCAGCTTTGTGTTCTTGGTGGAGTTTATAATCTTCATCTAGGAAGATTGGTACTTTACACCATCAAACGAACATTGTGCCTTTGGGAGCCTCTACAGCCCAACAGGTTAGAACATCCCAAAGCTCAGACCCTCCAGAGCTCAGGTGTCATCTTTTTGGGATGATATTTCTGACTAACACCATTCCCTGAGTATTAAAACAAATTAAACCTCATTTTCAGTGGATTTCTGTATCATGCTTGACTTTATTTTAGCTTAATGATACTAAAGCTGAGGAAGGTGATAGGCACTGCAGTATCTACACAAGAAAGAAACTTTGACCAAAGAATGAATATTCAATGAGATGTGAGCTCAAGCTGAAAATATTCCCACGGCTAAGGCATTTATAATGTCTTTTCCGTGCAAGTTGCCTGGCATTTACTGAGGGTAGAACTTGCTGTGATCCTTCTTTCAGTGAGAGCATAACTAGTGTTTTGTCTTGTCTGTCCATCTCTCTTTTTCCACAAAACTTCTGGATTTTTTTTCCATTTTTTTTTTTTATCCTCTGCTAGCTCTTGTTAAAAGTTAAATTGCAATTGTATATTGCTTGTTTGATCCCATCATTGAAGTATCGTAGTGCTTCAGAATCTGTAAAGCATTGATTGTTGTTACTCTTGAGTAGCAAAATAGTATTATCTTTATTGAACAGCCTAAGATATAATGGAAGGACCAAGGAGCACGCTGTGGCTTATTGACAGCATCTTAGAATGAGACCTGGGTGACACCAATTTCCAACAGCCTGTGGGCGAGGAAGGAGCTAGCATACTTGGCTCAGTAACTTGATTTTGGACAATCCAGGAACATGTTATGCAGCTCACCTGCTCCACAGTGTAGATGCAGACAGGGAATGACTTAATTGGTGAAGGAGTCTTCCAAGAAAATTAATTCACGTTTGGTACATGCTGAGTTAGTATTCATGCGAGCAGACCGTTAACTGCGTGTGTGGTTTCATCATTGGTTTATGTTGTCCTGTGCAATTTCCTTTCTGCTGTCTTTGCTGTTTCTCTTGTGCCCTCTCCAGTGACTGTGTAGCTGTGGGATGAATCAAGATGGGTGTAATAGAAGCATATGGCAATACTGGTTTCTCCTTCCTACCGTGGATGAAGAAAGAGTAGAAATGTTGTTGTTCTGTAATGTTCAATCCTTCCTAAGGAGAATAACGTGAGGAAGGTAGAAACTTTCCTCTTCCCAAGAGGAGAGGAGCGTTGCATTTCTCCTGACTTTTTCAAGAATCTTAAATATAGGAATTACTAATTTTTGTGAGGATGTGTACTAGAAAAAAATGTTTTACGTGTAACCTGGATATTGCTATTACAGTTTTCCTCAGTTTTGGGTTGGAGGCTTGTCTCACCAGAAGACGCGTTTAGTCTGTGTATTTCCCTTTTTAGGCCTGTCTGAACGAAAACAAAACTTCTGAAGGCTTCAGCTCGGGTTGAGTTTGTGCTTTCTGAACTGCAAAGGTATACTTTTAAGTCATATATTTTGTTTGCAGCTGATTCTGGATTTGAAGGAGACCAGACTGGTAAATGCCTGGTTCTGGGGTTAGACTGTGAACAGTTAAAAGTGGAAGGAAAACCTTAGGGATTCCGAAGAGGCTGGCTTGCTTCCTATTTTATTTTAATAGCTTGAGTAGCAGACCACAGAGAGAGGGAGGGAGGGAGGGGGAGAGAGAGGGAGGGAGGGAGGGAGAGAGACTATCTTAATGTTTTTAGCAAAGCTGAAGGCAGCTTAGATTTGCCATTCATGAAGGACAGAAGCTTTTGTAACTTCTTTGAGCGGCTGTTTTGGGCCTTGTGCACATGTTTGATATTCCTGGAACCCACGCGATTGAGCCTTACATCCTATTGGGTCTTAATCCTGGGGGGCTTTTGCTCCTGGAGGTGCTGTGGATGTGTGTGGTTTAGGGCGGCCTAATGACTTCTGAAGTCTCAGAGCATTAAATGAACAAGTGATATTAGAGGTGTTCACTTAAGGATATGACTTTTGAGACTTGTTGATGGGGTTTCAAGCTCTCTTCTGTTTCTCCCCGTGGGAGTTAGGAGCTTTTCTCACAAAACCAAATCCTGCCTTGGAACCCTGATGGACGTTTCTGCCTGCATCGCTGTTTAAGCGGAGTCAGTTAAAAAGAACTTAAATTTAAAAGTATATATATTTCTACTGCAGGTTGGATTGTCTGACTTCAGGTTCCGTTTGTTAGCTTGACGTCTTCACTGTTTAAATTGAAGAGCGTTTGCTACTGGTGTTTCTTGGTAGGGATTTTGGAAGCCACAGTCAGCTCTTTTTCTCATTAGATTAGCACAGAAAAGTTAAGTTGCTAGTCGCAGGAAGCAAGGCATGTGCCTGAAACCTCCTGTGCTCTCAGGTGTGTTGATTCCATGGTAGCAGCTGCTTTTTTATTGGCTGTTTTTTCTCTCTTTAAGTAGGATTTTGGAGGAAATCCTTTCTTCTGATTTCCTCACCCCTACCCAGGACATGTGAATTGCTGTTGGCATCTTGTAAATATTTAAGTATCGTGGCTACGGCACTGCTACTATTTTAAGTAGTATTTCACTGATATGTGTCTGAGAGTTGGAAAACAGGGAGCTGTCACTCCTCAGGATATGCTATAGTCTCCCTGTTGCACGTTCTGTTTTGGCACAGCTCTAATCTGTTAGCAAATAATACCATTTCCCCTCATTTTTATTTAAATATATTTTTATTATGTATTTCATTCAGTGCTTAGAAGAATTCACGGGTCCCGTTTAACTGTTTGGGTTGCTCTCAAAGTTAAAAACTTTGTGCTTTATTCATAGCATTGACTGTCACAAAGCTGCGCGCTATTTTTAGTTCCAACTGGATGAAGTGTAAAACAAAGTCTCCACTGTGTGTGCTTTCCTTTTGGGCTTGATAGTTCATCATTTTTTCATTCCTTTTAGGGTCTCCCTCTGTTCTGTTTCCATTTGTTTTCCCAGTTTCATTAATATTTCTGCAGTAGGCCCCCTCCCCCCGTCTTTTTTTCCCCCCGCTTTTGGTAAAATCATATAAACTTGGTATGTTTTGTCACTTTCAATTGAAGAAACTGTTGAGCAGGGTGGAGCGGACTGGTATTGTTTTAGCTAAAACTGTTTCTAAAGGCTACAGCAGCACATCAAATTTTGGCGTGATATTTTTTCTTTATTATTTTATTTTTTTTGAATTCAACCTTGTTATAAAACCAGTCATGGCAGCTGTAAGAAGCTCCTAGACTACTGTTTGGATGGTTTGTTTGGTTTTTCTGTGGCTTAACTATTGAACTTTTTCAGGCAATTTTTAGGATTTGTATTACAAGAAATTCATCGTTTGTTATCCTGGACGCTTGACTTGAGTCCGTGGTAATCTTTTTCTTTCTTTTTTTCTTAGGAAATTTGCTACAAGACCCTATTGCTCCTACCAACTCCACATGCCAGCATTATGTCTGCAAAACTTGTAAAGGCAAGAAGATGATGATGAAACCGTCATGTAGCTGGTGCAAAGACTATGAACAATTTGAGGAGAACAAGCAGCTAAGCATTCTAGTGAACTGCTATAAGAAACTCTGCGAATACATAACACAAACTCCACTGGCACGAGATATTATCCAAGCGGTTGATTGTTCTGCAGATCTTTTGGCTTTGCTCAAAGATGGGTCACCACTCCACGAAGAGACGGAAAAGCCTTCCGATACGACCTTGGCTTTGTGTTTGACACATTCCCCAGTACCTTCGACCTCAGAACTTACAAATGATCCTCCAGCGACTTTTTCGTCAGTACCCGAAAGCACACACAATATCGATATAAGAGGTTCCGTTATCAACGGGTTGCCCAATTGTAATGGGCTTTCAGTAGATAAACTTGGAGTGAATATTCCTTCTCCTGAACACGCCAATACAATTGACGTATGTAGTACTGGAGAGTATATAAAAACTGAAGATATCTCTAGCAGTCTGCAGCCTGTGTGTGATACAGTGTCTACTAGTGACTTGTGTACGACGGGCATTGACATCTGCAGTTTCAGTGAAGATATAAAACCAGGTGGATCGCTCCTCCTTAGCGTTGAGGAAGTTCTCCGGAGCTTAGAAACAGTTTCAAATACTGAAGTCTGTGGTTCTAATTTGCAGCCCAGCTTGGAAGCAAACATGACTAATGGCCCTTTTCTGCAGCTTTCTCCCCCACCTCTTAGCCATAACATTTTCATGTCCACAGATGCTTCTCCTCACGGGATCTCGTGTACAGCGGCAACGCCTAAGGTAGTTAAGTTAAACAGAAAGCGATCTCGATCAGAAAGCGACAGCGAAAAGGTTCAACCTCTCCCCATTTCCAGCATCATCTGTGGCCCAACACTGGGAGCATCCGCTCCTGTAACAGTGAAGCAGGAAAATAAAATGTCTTTGCAGCCTATTGCAACTGTACCTAATGGAGGCACTACTCCCAAAATCAGTAAAACTGTGCTCCTGTCTAACAAAAGCATGAAAAAGAACTTAGAACATGCCCCTAAGAAATCTCATCCAAAAGCCAAACCAGGAGTGCTGAAAACAAAAGACAAAGCAAAGGAGAAAGTTCCTAGCAGTAACGTTATGCCGGGAAGCCCGACAAAAACTGTGTATAAAAAGCCACAAGAAAAGAAAGGGTGTAAATGTGGTCGTGCCACCCAAAATCCAAGTGTTCTTACATGCCGTGGCCAACGCTGCCCTTGTTATTCTAACCGCAAAGCCTGCCTTGACTGCATATGCCGTGGCTGCCAAAACTCATATATGGCTAACGGGGAGAAGAAGCTGGAGGCATTTGCGGTGCCAGAAAAGGCCTTGGAGCAGACTAGGCTTACTTTGGGCATTAATGTGACAAGCATTGCTGTGCGCAATGCCAGCACAAGCACCAGTGTAATCAATGTGACAGGGTCACCAGTAACTACGTTTTTAGCTGCCAGTACACACGATGATAAAAGTTTGGATGAAGCTATAGACATGAGATATGACTGTTGAATCTTCTTTTTCCCTGCCATTAGTAGGGGAACTGCTACAGTTTTAAGGCAGCTATGGTTCTGTTTAACTTGCTGGAGCTCCTGCGTTTAGATCACTTGTATCAAGTGTTTTTCATTGCTATGTTATGTGTATTAGTGTCTGGGAAATAGTTGCAGATAATGGAGGAGTTACCCTAAAACTGTTTTTAGTTCTTACAGCACCTCATAGTTTGAGATCGATTGCTGATGTAAATGATTTTTATCACAAGATCTTTGGCAAGGAATATGTTAACCTCATTGTACTCGTTCATGCTTTGTGCTCAGTCAAAGCTTCTGCTTAAACATAGAGAAGCGGTATCTAGTTAGTCCATCTAAATTGCTCTAGACGATGATGCAGAAGAGTAATTCTCAGTTAGTTACAGTCACTATTGTTAGAAAATCACCTAATATTCCTGTAGAAAATGCAGCATTAAGCTGGGGAATGCAGTGGCAGAGTGGCAGATAGATAACTTCTTATCGTGGGAATTGGTTATCCACTATACTGAATTCAAAAAAATGAGTAATATATTGAGAAAGCTAATAGCCCCAAAAGCAGCTCAGTTTCCAAGAAAGGGTCAGGAAATTCACTCAGCTAGATAGCAGCGGTAAGCTGTTGACTGTCGACGCGCCATGGCTGTTAATACCATCGTTCACTTCAGTTTTCTTGCCAATTGTGCAGGTCACGTTCCTGACCCGTTATGCTCTGGGTGCCACCTCTGCTTGTTTGACGTTACTGACTATTTTGGTAGGGGAGGAAAAACTACTTGGACGGCTCGAATTTTGTTAACACCCTTCTCCTCGTTTTTTTGGGGAGTTCTGTTGTGTCTGGAGAAGAGAGCTTTTCTGAGGGCTACGGAGGAGACTCTGCGGCTGGTTGGCTCCTTGTTTCTTTGCTGTTAATCAGTGCCTGCAATTCAGAGAGGCTTGCACGGCGATTATCACCGCTGGCTTCTCCCCACCCTCGTTTTTGTTACGTTTGTACCAAAATATACCTGGGACCTGTCCCCACGAGGGCATTGCTCCGTTAACAGGCATTTTTCAGTTTCATCTTTCAGAAAATTGATGGCTATCTACTAAGGTCAAATATTTTGGATGCTTATTAGAGAAAATATGCTATATAGTTCACTCCACCCAGAATCCTTCTAATTTTTGTGTAATGTGTCGAAAGTTGTTTTAGAAGGCAGATGCTTTTCAACCTGGGCTGAAAGGCCCTAGATTGGCAAAACCGCACAAGTTTGGTCAAAGAGCTTGTCTCGAGAAGTGTTAAAAATGAACGCGCCTTTGTAGGAATTCAGCTTTATGCAAAAAAGGTTTATTTCTGGTTAGTCCCTAAATGAGGGTACAAGCAGAAGACTTGAGTCTTGCGTTTGAAGACTTCATTGGCATCCTGGCAAAGTCAGGCTACTTCGTGAAAGCAGAAATTTCTCCCCTTTGCAACAGCAGAAATTAAGCGTGGGCTGACTAGAATACAGAACGTTACCTTCTCATTTAAAAGGCAGCATGTTAAATAGTATTTGAATTTTTCACGTTATTTTACCGCTTCCATCTTTCCTTTCATTGAACGAAATCCTCAGTGCTTTCTCACTTTAGTGTTGGATATTATTTTGATTTGGCACAAAGCATGTACAATGATGGTTACTCACCTAAGAAATAAGCAAAAAACCTTTGGACACAAATGGCACCTCCTTTTGTTTTGTAGTGTACCATGGTGTCATTTTCTGTGAACGTGGTCAGATCTTTTTGTTGGTTTTGGTTTGTTTCTCCCCCCGTCTTCTTTGTGGGGTGGGTAGGGTGGGGGGGTTAAAGCCATAGGAAGAAAAATGTGATGTATGTGTCCAGTCTGTACTTTTTTGTTTTTGTTTTGCAAGAAGAGTTGAAAAATATTTTTGATAATGAGTAAATGGTGGAAAATGCTTCTTAGTATTCTTGTCTTTCTTTGCCAACCCAAGCACCTGAGATCTGTGGTTTTTAGCCCTCATGAGAGTTAATGCTGTCCTATTAAAGTGTATTTAGTTAAACTTGTATGTGATTTTTGTGTTGACCCAAGAGGATCCTACCGTTCTCTAATTTGGTGGTTTGATTGTGACCTACTAATGTAAATCTGCTTATTAGTCCACTACACGTAGAGAAAAGTAGCCAAGCCACAGTCCGATCTTTAGGGGAGTAAAATGGGTTGGCAGCATGGGTTGTTTCCGAACGCTTTTGCAGAGCTGTTAAGTTTTGCTGGGATTGTTGATGGCACGTTTATTGAGATTTTTATTAAATTATTTACATAGTACCTTTGCTCCATAAATGTGGGAGTACTTGGAATCTTTAATATCTTGCTGCTGCACTAAATACGGTACCAAAAGTTGGCGATTTAGGTAGAGCGTGTTTTGGAGCCGTTGGCAGGAGAGCCCTGATGATTAACGTGAAATTAGATTCAGGGGTTTTTTTGGTAATTTTTGGGGTTTTTTTTTTTTAAAGCTTCCTTTTATGATGCCACGTTCTTGAAATGTGTATTAAAATTCAAATTGACTTAATGAATGTTAGTTTTTTAATCCTGTTTTGCAACTGCTAAGGGCATCAGTGTGGTGTATGATGCATTTATTGTCTAAATGCTACCTAGTCCATAGATGACTAATTTTGTAATTGTTTAAATTAGAGTTTGTTTTGTTTGATTGTGTTTGAGTTTGGGGTGGTTTTTTTTCCTTGTTATTGTTTTTTTTTTTTTCTTTTCCCTTTTTTAACCTCCTGGCTAGTTGTTCTTGAATAAATTGAGCAACGGAAGGGATCATAAGGCTGCCGAAAAATAATTGCAGTGGTTCTAGTTTCAAGAGCCTCGGTTTCCGCTGTAGAGCAGTATGGGCAGCATGCTGCTGTGGGACCTTTCAGCGCTGGTTGTGGTCAAAGGGAGTTAAATTAAAACTCGGCCACCCCGGCGTAGCCCACAGCATGGCACGTGCTCCCTGTTGGCCGTCCGCGAAGAAACGCTGGAGAAGGACTGAGTGAGAGCAGGCACAGTGGTAGTTTTAGCTTTAACTTAGCCCTGGCTGGTTGGGGCCGGGGGCCCTGCGCCGCGCCTGGGGCGCCGTGCCGTAGCGCAACTTTCTTTAGCGTCAGCGTAGAGGAGGCTGCTGGGGGGTTTCCTTTCCTACAGGCAGTGCGCGATCCGTCAGCTTTCTACCCAGTCCTCTTACGGAAAGTGATAGACTTCCGAACTGTCATCAGGTGCGGTAACTCCTTCGTAGAGCTGCATCAGAAAGACAAAGCCGCAAGTCATGAAGTGGTTTTGCTGTAGGAGTCTTCCTGCCCGAAGACATGCCGCAGAGGTTGCAAGAACAGAAATCCTGGTGGAAAGGGCGGACTCGCGATCGTCTTGGCCTGTGTCGCTGGACAAAATCAGCCTAGTGCTCACGACCTGAACAGGCGGAGGACGTTCTTACAAGAAAGAGAAGACATTTAAACTTTTACTTTTAAATGGAAAGGCTCTTTCCCTAAATCAGTGAAATCCCTGCTTGCGATTAAATATCGGAGGGAGGAGGGGCAGGGGGAAACAAAACTGGAGCTGAAGACTAGATCTGTGTTGACTTCACTGCTTTTCTAGCAGTTTGTTCGTGCCGGTGACGGGCTTGCTCTCTGGCTTGTCTAACGCTAACTTACACTGCGCACGAACGACGGGGGCGCAGCAGACACTTTTGCTTCTGGTGGACCTCCCGCAGATGTTCGTGCAGGTATAGAGGGGTTTTAAAACCTTCCTGCAAACTGGGCAGGCGGTTAACACGTGTCGTCTTGTGCAGCGGGCTCAATTTGTGTGATGGTGGAGTTCCTTACTACGCAGGGCAGAAAGGAAAGAAGCTTCTTCCCCCCCCGCGAGCACCAGAAAATTCTGTATCGCCAGGAAAAAACCCTGTAGAGTTGCCACGTACCAGCAAGCTGAAATGAAACCTGAAAGCCCTGCTTTCAAAGGCAAGCACTTCGAGCACAGCGGGCAGCTTGTTGATAACCTGTTACAGACTTGCAAGAAAAGGACCATACAGATGTGGCACGTGAATCTTGCAAAGATTGTGTGATCCAGACGAAAACCATTTTTTTACCGTACCTAAGAAGCACCCCCTGCACACTTTTAAATTTATGTATTTTTTTAAATACAAGTTACATTTCTAAAAAGCTTTTTTGATTGCCGAGAGTAACTTCCTGAGAAGTAAGGCAACAAAAAAGAACAGTTTGTAAGCGCTAGAAGCATTTCAGGTATGCGGCCCAGCTAACGAACTTCACTCGCAAAGGTAGAGTATCGTTTGAAGTAGCACTGATAACGTTAGAGATGCCTCTCGGTTGTCTGGACTCACCCATTTAATTTTTATAATTGAAGCGTCTTTGCTATTTTAAAGAAAGCCCTAGGTCCCCACCAGAAAGTGGCTGTGCTAGGTACAGACTTAGACAAGCACAGGAACGGCGGCCCATCGGTGTGGCAGGCGCAGGAGTGAGATGATGGACGCAGTGATTCTGCGTGAGTGTTTGTGCGTTTTGCAGTCAGAGAAAGCGTGACTTTCCTTTCCTTCCCCTTGCAGAGCACCCAGGAGACATCTGTTTTAAGGAGAGATTAAAATGAGGGACCTCGCTGTTTCGGTAAGCCAGCGCAGGGACAGCTGTGCTCCACGTTGAGGAAAACGGGATGGAGAGAGGGGCTAGGAGCATTGCTTTCCTCAGCACTTCTGAGAAGAAAGCCTGATGTTTTGGCATCGCCAGGCTGGCTGGCCGGTACCTGGACGGCGCGGTCTCAGTAACGACAAGGACGGTGATCCTGGGACAGCAGCAGGAGATAAGGCGAACAGTAACTTTCTACCCCATCACTCAGTACAAAGCAGCTTACTACTTCAATTCAGAAGTCCTTTATTTGCCAAAAAAAAAAAGAAAATACAAAGTAAAAATACAAAGATAAAACCATGCCAGCACAAAGTGTCTCCAAACTACTTTTATAAAGCATCAGAACCTTTATTAAATATTCAATTTCTAAAACCATCGCCCAGTGATACAGAGAAAAAGTTACAATAAAAGGGTAAGCGTTGTTTACCTGTTTTTCTTACAGTAGCTCATGCTTTTTACTGAGGTTCGTTTTTGATTGCGCAAACTTAAGATACCGTGATTTAGAAACACCGCACTCCAAAAATAGATGCCATTAAAATGATACTTCAGTGACTTTTTTTTTGGCCTTTTGGACGTATTTCACTTCAGACGCTAAGAACAGTACCTTGGCTAGAGTATCTCAAGCCAGCTCTCTTAAACCGTTTGCTTAGGAAAACAGGAAGATTTTCTGCAATGTTTTCTGTAAACCTGAGACTGGAAATGTTTGTGCTGTCCATGTCTGCTTTGCAATACCGCCGCTTGGTGGCAGGCCGGCAGAAGCGGAACGATGTTCCCGTTTCCTCAGCACTTCTGAGACGAAAGCCTGATGTTTTGGCATCGCCAGGCTGGCTGGCCGGTACCTGGACGGCGCGGTCTCAGTAACGACAAGGACGGTGATCCTGGGACAGCAGCAGGAGATAAGGCGAACAGTAACTTTCTACCCCATCACTCAGTACAAAGCAGCTTACTACTTCAATTCAGAAGTCCTTTATTTGCCAAAAAAAAAAAGAAAATACAAAGTAAAAATACAAAGATAAAACCATGCCAGCACAAAGTGTCTCCAAACTACTTTTATAAAGCATCAGAACCTTTATTAAATATTCAATTTCTAAAACCATCGCCCAGTGATACAGAGAAAAAGTTACAATAAAAGGGTAAGCGTTGTTTACCTGTTTTTCTTACAGTAGCTCATGCTTTTTACTGAGGTTCGTTTTTGATTGCGCAAACTTAAGATACCGTGATTTAGAAACACCGCACTCCAAAAATAGATGCCATTAAAATGATACTTCAGTGACTTTTTTTTTGGCCTTTTGGACGTATTTCACTTCAGACGCTAAGAACAGTACCTTGGCTAGAGTATCTCAAGCCAGCTCTCTTAAACCGTTTGCTTAGGAAAACAGGAAGATTTTCTGCAATGTTTTCTGTAAACCTGAGACTGGAAATGTTTGTGCTGTCCATGTCTGCTTTGCAATACCGCCGCTTGGTGGCAGGCCGGCAGAAGCGGAACGATGTTCCCGCCTGGGTTTTGCAGAAGACGACTGTAATGTAGCAACTGCTACTGAGATTTTAGAAAAAGAAGAAAAAAATCAAGCTGGTACCATTACAGTAGTAATTGCATGTGGTTGTATCTAGCCATATCTCTCATCTTAATACTGTTGAGAGAGAATATTTTTGTATATGAAAACAAAAAGCAAGGTTTTTGTAAGGAAGGGCACAGGACTTAATTCTGCTGGGAAAAAGCAGACTGTAGGGAATAAATAAGCACCATTTTTTTTATCATGCAAAATTGTATGTTACTCACTTTTCTGACTATTTGTAGGGGGAAAGGAATCCAGCTCGTAATGGACTTCAGTCTCAGCTGGATTTACAATGAAAAATGTTCTTTATGCAATATCTAAAGTGGCATTGATAGTTGGAAACAGGAGGCAGAGTTGGAGAGAAGTGGGTTCCTACAAGTTTTCGGTGCTGTAACTGTTGGCTTGCTTCATTCTAGAGAACTTGGGGACCTCTCAAACTGGTACGTGTTACTGCTTAGCAGACTTTGGTGTCTGTATTCATAAACATCTTTATCTATTTATGTTTTGACTATCCCAAAAGGAAAAACTACAAAAGTAGAATAGGAATTCCAAAATCTGCCTTGTTTCTGTGCTGCAGCTTTAGAAACCTTCCACCCAGGTAAGCTGTGACAGGACGAAGTCCTAGATTTAGTGTAAAATACCACATTTACGAAATCATCTGAAATTGCTGAATTACGGTTATTTTCAAGTGTATTAGTAAATACACTTGAATTAGTAGATAACTGGCTTTCTGCTCCTGGAGTAAATAATATAAATTACTGCACGTCTTGCACCGAGATCATGCTAACAATGGCTTCTGTAGCTTGTCGTTGCATGTGAGGCAAAATATTTGCCGTATTTTTCTTTGGATTAGCTCGTTGCGTTGACCTACTAGAAGGCATGAACTGGGTTTGGGATCACTGTGTCATAAAAGCAATGAACCTCTCCGTCTGTGCGAAGGCTCAGAGGAGCAGCTAGGAGCTTCTGTCTGCATTTATCGACGCCAACCCTTAAAAAGGAGGTGGCGGTTCTACCAGGCTCAGGGGAATAACGCCTTTAAAAAAGCTGCTGCTTCAGGCAGACTGGTGTGAGATGGAAGTCTGAACTGATCTGGTGGGCTGAGGTTGAAGCCCCTCTGCAATGGCGTGTAAATGAGAGAGATGAAAGATCTTGTGGTGGATCAGAAGCAGGAACTGAAGGAGCGACGCACCAAGGGTTGCTCGGGTCCCAGCTTCTCATGATCCGTGGTGGGCTGTGCCTTCATCCCAACGTACATCTGGTGCCTCAGAACAGGGTGACGCATGCTCAACTGGAGAGCCTTCTGCGTTCTTCGTTTAACTGCCTCCTTGGGTGAAATAGCAATTGTATGTTCCTGGGAATATACATCCTTCCTGGAGAAGGATGTTGCTATTCTGAACTCCCGAGGAGGAGGAAATACGGTGCTCAGAAAGGCTGTGGAATCACCATCCATGGAGATGTTTAAAACTTGGCTGGACGAGATCCTGAGCAACCTGCTCTAACTTTGAAGCCGCCCTGCCTTTGAGCAGGGAGTCGGACTAGAGACCTAAAGAGGCCCTTTCCGACCTGAACTCCTATACTAGTCTGGACTGTACTGAAAGAGCTCAGTTTTCTCGGAGGTGCAAGGCTATCTCAGGTTAAAGTCTCACAGAGACAATCTCCAAGTTATTCTGAAATGAGGTTTTAAATCACTGGCAAACTGGGCATGCCAGTTGCTGCTGCTGCTTATGGATTTAAAAGTAACACGAAGGACAAGACAGTGGTGAAACTACTTCAGCCTAGAATGGGTTCAGGTTCTTCTTGCTCCTTTGAGGAGGTTTTGGCTTTGGAGAGATTTAAAACTGTATCAAGCTAAGAGTGAAAGGCCATTATAGACTGGGTATTCAAGAAGAGGTGAGCCACTTTGCCTAGGATTTTTCGGGGCAAGAAGTGCACAGCGCTAGTGACAATTGGTGGTTGTGTGACTTCCGTCCTGTGTTCGTTTCTGCAATCATTTCCTGGTTTCTTCTGCACTGGAATATTTGCGGAATCATCCCCAATAAAGCTAGCTTTTCCCCTGGGGACTGTAGTGATGCTGGAGATGTAATTCTGACATCGGTGTCTGAGGACTCATGCCTGAGAGGAACGTAGTTACTGCGCTCATAAAAATGCAAGGCACCGTGGTGAACCTGGGACGGGCTCCAGCAGGGCCCCACGCGTGCCTCGCTCTGTTTTTCAGGCATGTCCTGGTGTTGAGCCGAACTTTTGCCCTTGTTCCATTCAAAGGAGCATTAAAGGGGGCTTATCTCAGTTTCAGTCGTGCGTTCCCTGTTGATATCTTTTATTATGGAAAGAAATTTAACTGGAAGTGCCTTTGCTGAGAACTTGGAGCATCCAGAAGTTTCCGAGATACCTGAAAAGCCAGGATCCTGGGATGTGCGTAGGCATCTGGAGAAAACAGAGGCTTTGTTCAAGGAAAACAGAATAGCTCTCCAAGCCCAACGTAACTGAAAGCTCCTCCCCGCCCTTTCAGCTTTTGATCCTGATGAGAAAGTTTCTAACTCAATAAGGCAGCAATATATCCTAGCCGGGCACGGGGAGGCAGGCCTGACACTTCAAAGACTCCTAGAAAAGCTGGAGTGCTGAACAGCCAGTTACTTGGTTATTTGTGTAATAGTACCGTTCAGAAGTATCATCTAGGGATAAATGTTCCGTTGTGCTAGCATCTGCACGCGCAACATGTGCCAAGCTAATAGTGCGCCTACATAAAAATGGGCTATTAAATGGGTGGGCTCTGCCTGTAGAGGAGGCAAGGAGGCGGCTGCTTGGAGAGCGGCTTCTCGCGCTGGCAGTGCAGGGCGCTCTCGAGTGTTCCGGCAAGGTTTCACCCAAGCGTGTTCTGAGGAGTCACGGTTTGATAGTCCTCAGGTGAGGTAAACAGGAAAAGCAGTGTATAAAAACCACATCGTATAGATTTGGACAGTTACAAAAGTTGGAAAAGTATGCTTTGGCAACTGAAACCTGTCCCAAACTGGAGAAGGTAAGTACCACATCTATTTGTATAGCTATGATGAGTAAAACTGAGGACTGGTCAAAACATGTTATACTCACCTCTGAATTGAATCACAAACTGAAGCTCCTAGCTGTATAGGAGGAACAGCACCAGCAATAGACAATGTGCCGTTGTTACTGGAGACACTGGTTGTGAGTCCATGGGGAAAGTCAGGTTCGTTTTGTACTTAACTCCCTAACAAATTCTTGCTTTATAGTGTTTCCTCTCTGAGATTAGGGCTCATTTCATGGATGGAAAATAAATTTTCAGTCCTGTACCTGCTTAATTCCTTTACAAGTTATGAAGGATCCCTCTGTTAAAAACTTAGCATACTGAGTCAGGGTTTGTTTTTTCCCTCTTCCTCATGATCTCAGCTCAGTCTCGGCTTGCAGAAGGCTAGAGATCAGCGACAGAGGAGCTGGGAAGAGCACAGGGCACGGACAGAAGTGGCGTGCGCGAAACACAGCAGTCTGAGCGCACCTCCTGAGCATGCGTGTGTCTGCTTCCTCGTAAAGGTGCAAGAGAAGACTTAAAGACCTGCCTGCTTGGTATTTATAAAGGAGATCTTCTCATGCAAGGAGGATATACAGAAGCACTACCTTCATCTTAAATCCTCAGAGAAACACTGCAGCATGTACTGTGCTGTAAAATACGCGTAGTAGCGATTGAAGATCTTGCGGCATAACGCACAAAAAGGGACCTCACTTTCCCCATGCTCAGGGATGTTGCCTTGCTTTCCAGGGGGAAAAAAAGGTGAAACTAATAAAAATGAGAACTTAACTGTGCCTTGTGTTTTAAGACTTCTAGTTTTTCATTTAAATCAAGTTAATCTGGCAACTCTGATTTCACTGCTAGTATAAAGCCAAAGGGTCACAATGGCACTGAACTGAACCAGAAATTGCCACTGCAGACGTTGCATGCGGTTGTTATGGTTAATAAGGAGATGCTGGCATTTATTGCACATAGAGGGACAGAACAGAATTTGTATGGAAAGATATAAAGGAAACAAGGTACAATCACCATTTTTAATGAGCGTGCACAATAACACATTGTAAAAAGCCTTTTATAGAAATTACCTACTGCAGTTACACAGGAAGAGAAAAAGGGTTCTCAACTTACAGTGTACAAAATAAAGCACATTGCTCCAATGAGGGATTTAAGAAAAATCCCTTAAGTGTCTTAGGACTGATTGCTATCCAGTTTGACAGATACTGATTACATGTCTTCCGTTTCCCTATGCTGAGAGATCTGAGATAACTAGTTTGTCTGACTTGTCTCCAGTTTCAGGGGGAGATAAGACTTCATCTGCGTCATAGTCTTCTTCAAATGATCTGCAAAGATAGAAACTACATCTTTAAAAGCCGTATTTACTTTGGTGAGAGCACTTTCAGGTAAGTTATTTCAGTGGCTACTAAAGCATTAGGGTAAAATTCAGTAACATGCAAAATGTTAAACTGAAAGAGGATTTTATAAGGACTGGCAGTAATCAGTTTTCTGACAGCTGACATGACTTTGCAGTCCTGCCCATCGTCACTAGTAAGTTCTGAAACAACTTTCAAGTGATGTTCAGCATTATAAAATTTGAACACAGTTTCAGTAAGACTACTGGAAGATACAGACAATTGTTAATATTTCAGCATAGGAATACAGTTGCCCAGCCACTAGCTCAGGTCCTACTGGAGTTTTGGCTTGCTCCGACTTGTTTAGAAACACCTTGACTCTAAAACTTCTCCTGGCTTAGGATATGCTTTGACCTCTACAGAAGGACAACTGTGATCATGCTATCCTGTTCCTCCTTCATTTGGTTTGAAGTTTAATATCGAGGTCTTACTGTTTACAGCTCAGGGAGGTTTGACTGCGAGTTCCTGTCTCTGACCACTTGCAGTAGTCAGGCTGGTTGGGTTCTGGGCTCTGCCGCAGCAGATATCGCGTCAGGGCTCTCATCCTGTTCATAGGCCTGAGAAATGATGCTTTTAGATCTTGACTTGTCACCACCCCTGTCTCTGCACCCTACAGGTCAGTCTCTCAGGGCTTCCAAGAAACTCAAGTTCTTCCTTTTGTAGCAGGTCTTCAAATAGCAAGCACAGAAATAGCAGCAACTTGTTCAATGATACGCTGTGCTGCAGAAGGCGAACTCCTCTGATGCCCCAGAGGGCATGGTGCCAAGGAAGAATTGTATCTATCGCTTCTCTTGCTGTTCCTCGTCTGCTGACCCATATGCAGGCACCAAGAAGTTTTGGGAGTCGCTGGTGCCTGCCAGTCGGTCCCAGCTTCCCCTTTGGGCAATATATACTGCTGAAGAGAATCTTGTTCTCCTCAGTCAAAGAAGAGAAAAACAGCATAGAGATCTTCCTGGAGAATATTTTCATCTTTTTATCCATCGGGGAAAGCGCCCCTGTAGTGCTTCTCTCACCTTCTGGATCCTTGCACAAGTGAGAGACGGGACACAATGGTCTACATCCCATGCCATTAACTGGGAGCACTTATCCACGTGCCTCTTCTGACTGCACATTCAAGGATGCTAAAAAAGTTCTCAATAAGCAGGCTTTTTGCTTAAGCAGTACCTGCAGGGAGTCCGCATGGCCCTGCCTCCCTTCTCTCCCTACCTGGCTATGTGCTGTGCATGTTCCTATATGCCTCAGTTTCTCTAATGTCCCCTTGGCTTAGGGTGACACAGCTGAGGAAATTTTTTTTTTTTTCCATGTAAATACTGTTCTTAAGTATGCGCCTTTGATGTCCCCTTTCCCTTCAATTTTACCAACTTCTGTTCAACTTTTCTTCTGTTTCTTCTATGCCTGCAACGTGAGCCCCTTTCCGGTACTGTTTGTAATCACATGCAGCCAGGGGCTGCACCAGGCAGTATCAGTCCCTTTCTTCAGCCTTCGGAGCTCCATTAAGACTAGGAACCATCCAAGGGGACGATCTCCATGAGATCAGCGCTAAAGAGAATAACCTTCTCGTCTTCTGTCCCAGTTTCAAAACTTGCAGTCCCATAAATACACATGGGCTCATCCAGAGTAAAAACCCATTCCACACGACTCAACCATGGCAACTTGCTTGTTTAGGCAAGGTCAGTGACTTCAGCAAACCGTTTGGCTTTCCTTCATGCGCACACACGTTTTCTGTCACCTTCACTGGGTGGTTCAATGACACCGCTCCTCCCCCCCCCATGCCGTTCCTTATGCTGCTGGGTTCACGAATGCAAGCAACTGAGCCATCAACCAACTTGACGAAGCCAACAAAAAGAGCTAATGTGCCCAAGACAAGATCATCCGATCCTGCATCTTTGTCACTGCTTTGCCCCACCTCTTCACCTCAGAGCAGGCTTGCGCCATAGTGCGCCCTAGCTCCTTGTCTGCTCAGGCTAAGGGGATGCCTTCCTGCTTTGAGCTTCACTTAGCAGCAGCTGATAAAAGATGGATTATTTCTCCTTAATTTCTGTCCTGTGGAGAAAGATCCCTTCTGAGGAGAGCAATTGTGGCTTTCATGTACATCAGCTGGGAGAATTCAGTGTCTGGGGCAACGAACAAAGTAGTGCCCACTTCTGCTAGGAAGGCCATAGCCCGGACTGCGAGAAAGGATTTCTGCAAAAGCAACGCTTATATTTGCATTAAGAGTCTACCTGGCTCAGTCAGCTTCAATTGCTGTTTCTGCCTTCACACGATGTGCGCAGGCGTCACCAAGGAATAGACGCTCTCCATTGAAATGCACGCACAGATGGATGAGGCGGGACATGGCTGAGGACAGTTCAGGTCATCTTAGGCTGCCAGTAAAACAAGATGCTCCTTTGTCTTGAGCAACAAGACACCTTTCTTCTATCTGCCTTTGGTGACAGCCCCCCTAAACTAGTCTTTAGATCATATTGGCCTTGTGTTTTTTTTCACCGCAGGTGCTAGGCAAGTCCTATTCTCAACCACAGCAGTGTTTACAAATCACTGAAGTTCCCACTCGGGATCAGAAGAAACACTGCAAGATGTTCCTACCTTACAAAGTTATGGAGACAGCACCTGACCAGTCCCACCAAAGCCACAGCGTCCTTGAAATCACCCTGAGTATCCAGTATTTCTTGGTAAGATGCCTCTTCCAGGAGTCTCTCATGGGCAGGCCTGCAGACTGCTAGATACAGACTCACCTCAATGCTTCAGCTGACGGCCAAAAATCTTCCAGACCCTCTTAGAGCTCATAAATCCTCTCCTTGGATCTGTCTCTGCTCCCCATTTCTGTCATCCTCAAAGGGCAGCAGAAATGATGCAAGTGCAAGAACTCAATCCCTCTTTGTGGCATGTTTGCCTGGGCATCCAGCTCTTTGTTTTCCTTTTTTCCCTTCCTTTTTTCCTGCCCGGTCTGTTGCTCTGCTCCACAAATGAGATCTTATCCTGCTGTCATGACTACAGCGCTTTTCAGGAGCTCTTAAAAGCAAGCAGCAAGGTTGCTGAAGTGCTCGCTACAGAAAGACACAGAGCTGTTTTGCACACACCTCAAAAAGGTGGCATTACCTGCCACTTTTTTTTTTTTTTTTCGGTTGTTGATTAATGGTCCTGCAAAGCTTTTATGGCAAACTTCTATTTCTGCTCTGTACTGAGGACAGAGGCACAGCAGCATGGCCGCAGGGAATAGAGTGTTTTTTTACCTTCCATCCTGTCACATCATCTTCTATTGTTAGGGTCACAGAAAAGCAAGGTAGCTCAAAGGAGGTGAGGGAACATCCCATAGCTGTTTGCATGCACAGGGAGAGAGGGAAACAGCTGTCAACAGCTGGGCACCTCTCTGTGGCTAGTTGGTAGGGGCTGCTGTTACTTGAGCGATTTCCAGTGTGGGGAGTTCTGAAAATTATGCAATCTTCTGAGGACTTTTCCTTCAATGGGTCTACAAATGCTGTTCAAGAACTGATGAAGTTCTGAATTATGTGAAGACTTGCATGGTCTAAACATGTAGTAATTCCATGACTGTTCCTTATAGCACCCACAAAGAGACTTCCAGAGAAGTACTCTCAAGAAGATACTACCACAGCCACAAGTCTAAAGGATAATTACAGTGAGGATCCATTAGGAGTGTCTGTGGGATGCCCAGGCACACAGAGCTAAGTCCCGGATTAACTGCTCAACATAAATTAATTCATGCAAGGACAGCTGGAGTGTTTGTCCACAATTTTATAGAAGGCTGCAAAAATGAGCGCAGCAACCAATAGTTTTGAAGAAAAAGTCTAAACAAACTTAGTAAATGAATTAAAACTTTAAACACAGCTTATGAAGAGCACAGATGAATAGGCATGAAGTTTGGCAGAAGGTAAAATTATTTGCCTAAAAGAAAGCTTCAGTATACAACCCAGCTAAGCTACGCGTCATAAATGTAACAGAGCATATAGCTTCAGGTCCGTGATAGCGTGACGTGATCAATACTTGGCCAGGACTAGCAAAAGTCATTTGTCCTTTTTTTGTATGGTTGTAAAAAGACAAAGGCTTTGTCCTTTTTCCGCAGATGTCTCCATTTCTTCAGCATATGTAGCCTATTCACATGGCTACCCAAAAAGAATTCAGGATGTCCCAAATGCTTTGTGACAAATACCCCAGTACTACCTTTTGGGGCAACTGTTTTGGGCTTGCTCCAGTGTCGGCAGTCCAAATGAGACCTCTGTGAATCCACCACCTCTGCCAGTGGGAGCGTTCTGGGTGCCCACTTCATCCCTTTCTTTTTACACCTCCGCTGGAGCCAGTTAGCGGTTCCCCAGCACAGCGCAACGTCCACGCTTACCCTTCTTGTAACTGTTCGTTCCCAGACTCCTCAGCCACAAGGATCTCGTACTCTTCAGCAGCGTACCTGTCCCAGTCGGAGGGTTCAGGGCCATCGTTTTCAATGTCCTAAAGAGATCAAACAGTCAAGCACGTCAAGCCCATACCTCTGTACAAATACTGCAACAGGAATGAATGTCATACAAGCGTATGCACATGTGAAACACAGATTCTTGAAATAGTAAGCAACTGCACAGGAGCAGCTAGTCAAAAATTGTCTTAATTAAAATAGTTGAAAAATAATTGTGAATTTTGCACATAGGTGACTAAGAAAAAAATACATCCCTTAGTCTGCAAAGCTCAGCGTACCACCTGAGCTGCCAGCACATCTAGCCCCAATATAACAGCACGTTTTTCTCTGATCTGGCTCAGCATACTCTGCATCGACGCCCTTTGTAATTGGTTAAAGGACTTAATGATTTATTTAATCCTTAATAGTAATTGATCTCTTGAGCAACTCTAACAGAGTGCTAAGTTTGGGGCAGTTTGAGAGAAGGTTACAAAATAACATCCTTATAAACAGTTGACCCTCAGCAATTATCAAAAGATGGGGGGGAGAGAAAATTATCCCCTAGCCCCACCTGACTGCTTCTATGATGAGCCACTAAAAGAAAAAGGGGAGGGGGGAAGGGGGATTTTTCTGCCTTATGAGATAAATTTAAGCTTAGAATTGTGAACAGACCAAGAAGAACAACCACAAAGTTCCTCTTACAGGTTATGTGGGAACAGCTGGAAGGAAACCAGAGTGGGTTCGGTAGCCCCACTGCTTTTCTGTAGTTTGACCAAAGAAAGAGGCCCCTGGGGGGCTAGTTATCACGCTGTAGTCACATCTCGCTTTCTGAGGCACAGCAGTTTCACTGGATGTGCAAGGGGAGCCAGAGGTGAGGTGCTTCACACTGACAAAACGCGAGTCTCAGAAGACCCCACTGCTAGTGGTGAGCAACAACGGGAAAATACAAAAGCCAGAACCTCCTCTTGTATTTTCTCTGCGCGGGGAGAGAGTATGGTGAATGAAAGCACAGCCAGGCTGATAACCAGGCACAATCTGCAACAGCTAAACCTTCCAACTACTCTACCACAAGCGTGGCACAATCACAGAGTTATCATCTCATCTGCCTTGGCTTCTGTGTTGTAAAGGGGTTCTGTGTTCTCTTCTGTTCTGTTCAGGCTGCTGGAGAATTGCTAGTGTTGTTTCCCCTGGTAAGGATCAGACTCCAACCTGGAAGCTTAATAAATCTTCCAATATAGCCTACTTTTTTATGACCACAGCTGTGTGGGAGACAGGAAGAAGCACACAGGAGCTGAAGTTTTCAATCTCACAGCTCCTTGCTAGAACGAGTGAACTAGATTCGCTCCTAGTGCAGGTGAGCCCCCACCTTAGCCGGCTGAATCAGTGCACCTCAGCAGGCTGAGGAAGTTCATTCTCTTTAGAATCGCATACTGCACTGCCAGTACTGGTGCAACAGGGTCATTGAAGGCAACTGAATCATAGAATTATGGAATAATTTGGGTTGGAAGAGACCCAGGAGGTCTCCAGTCCCACCTTCCGCTCACAGCCGGGTCAGCTATAGGGGCAGACCAGGGTGCTCAGGACTTTGTCCAGTTGGGCCTTGCAAACCTCCAAGGATGGAAGCTGCACGACCTCTCTAGGCAATCATCGGTTGCAGTGCTTGACTGTCCTAATTGTGAAAAAGTTCTTCCTTCTATCCAGGGGAATTTTCCCTCCACCCAATTGCATTCCAAAGATGGGTTTGAGGAGTACAGGTGCTTTATACCTTTTGCACTGCAAAGGGATCCCTCTGCTCATTGTCCAGGTATTTCTCTAAATTGAAGAAGGTGTTGTAGAATACATGAGCCATTCTGCACCTCTTCAGGTCTCGTAGGGTTACTCTTCCTGCAGAAACAACACATTATTGCATTCCTAAGTTCTTGATTAGCAAGAGACTGGAACTGTTCCCGATCATTCTTATAAAAGTCATAATCAAACAATGTTGCAAAATTTCTTCCCAAGTCAATCAAGGATTTTAAAATTATTCAATAAATGGGCAAGAGTATTATTCCTAAACCTCGCGTACATATGGATGAAGCCAGGAACGAATGTGAAAGAACGAACAGAGACTGTACAGTTTCACAGTCTAGATCTGTCAGCATGTCCCATGGCAATTTCAGCTCTGTAATTCTACAAGCTTCTGCCTATAGATGGATGGGCTTCACAGCAACAATACTTTCTCAAGCCACTATAGATAGGAAACACCTATGAAAGAGGACTTACCATCCCTCTCTGGCTTAACAAGGTCAAGCATCTGACATAGCAAGTCATGAAACGGCAGTGGTTCTATGCCCATCACTTCCATCCGCTCACACTGCTCCTCATAAAAGTACTCCAGTTCATACATGGAGAGCACCCCATCCCCATCCAGGTCCATGCACCGAAACCAGTATTCAATACTAGGAAAAAAGAAACAGAACTTGTGAAACAAAACTAGTGAAAGCACAGAGGCTGCACCAGAGATGCCACGCAGCAATGCAACGCTCCCCTTGCCCCATCCTAGCATTTTCTTCTGGCCAAAGGCCACCCTTTGGGAAGGGCGAGGGCACAGGCCAATGCTCAAGAGTAACTCCTGTTAGGCTCTTTCCAGACAGCCTGTGAGCAGAGCCACACCGATGCCCTGGTTCACCAGGTACCTGGAGCAAGTGCCCACTATTAGCTATGCTGCAGCTTAGCTAGTTCAGAGGTTTTGGGCTCCCTGTTGGATACAGCAGCAAAGCTGGCCAAACGCAACCAACTCTGAAGCCAGATCATTGCCTATCCCCGAGTGACCCTGACAAGTGACAAAGCAGGCATGGCAAGCACTTATTTCCTGTACTCCATATATATATATAGAAGACAATGATTTCAAGCAGTTACACTTTATGCCCTCCCTTCACCTCTGGGTAGTCCAAGCCTGACTATACGAGTTCTTCTCATCTTTACTCATGAAATTCCCTGTCCTAATGCTCCCATACTGATCTAGTTCATTTCTCTACAACAGTCGCCTGCTGGCTGTACAAACTACATATGTGGGCAGCTTTTGCTAAATGACACTGAGTGAGATTTACCTACAAACCCTTCTTAGCACTTGCTACATGCATGAAGGGAACACGTCTATTTTCTGAAAACATCTCGTGGGTTTACCCAAGAGATGATGCTCCAGGAGCCAAGGGGTGACAGAAGAACAGTTTTGTCAAGCTGTCACTACCCCACGTCTCTTACAGTGTCACGGCTTACCTAAGGCAGGCAAGAACTGCAGCCCCTGCTTTTACTACCATGGGCACCCAGCGACACGCGCGTGCCCTCGCAGCGTGGTGGAGCAGTTGGTCACAAAGCTGCAGCCGTCTGAGCTGAACTCTGCCCGGAGAAGCAGGGGCTCAGGGCTGGCAGATGGTTTCTGTGGCTGCCTCTGCATAAAGGGCCAAAGACTGCCCTCGCAAGAGGGGAGACCAAACAAAGTCAGTTCTTATTACAGCTCACTACTGTGATCCCTTCCCCACAGGAAGAAACTAGCACTAACCTGATGGGCATGGGGTAACCGAAGCGACTGATTACTACCAAGACATTTAACATTAAAATAAAACTCTGCTTTTAAGCCATTGTTCCTCAAGAAAGGCAAATGACTGGGCCAAAAGTTGACCCTAAGTTGCTTTCTTCCTAACAACGACTGAAATCCAAGCTGCCGCCTGTTGTGGAAAGCAGTAAGTCACAGAAGTTTCTATAATCTTATCTCCACTTTTTTACTAGGGCATGTTGGAGTCAGTCAGACCTTGTAGCACTCCTTTTGTCTTCCTCCGAAATTAGCAGCCACACAAAATCAGCATAGCTCATCCGGCCTTCCTTCTGAACTTCATTTCCTCTGGAAGACACACAAAATAAATAAAACAAAAGAAAAACAGGCTCCTAAATATTGAGAATCTTACCAAACACATATTTTTAAAAAGCCCCAAATCACTGCTGAGAGAAAATGGGACATCTTCACTCATTTGGCCTGTTCTCCCTGCCCTCCACAGCACCAGTCCTCGTGCCATTCCCTGCAGGCACTGCATTTGCTGCCCTGCTGTCACTGCAGAGCTGAAACGCATCTACCACGTCCCGTCCCACAAGAAGTGCTGGGGTGTTTTATTTTTCAGCTTTCCAGCTAATGTCGTGCTGCTGTGGGGCACGCACACACGGTGCCTGCATGTTCCCGCCTGCCATGCCCAGCTTCTTCTACAATGAGGTCTATAAATGATGATCCTGTGGGATTTTTTGATTTGCTTTCTTAAGATACCTGGACGTCCCCCTCCATATTCAGGTAGCTCCAGCTACAGCACCATGTTGGAAACCATTCTGACCAGTGGAAGTTTTTGGGACTATCTTGCATTTCTAATCAGCCTGACAGAAATTCCTCTCACTTCCGCCCCCAGCCAGTATGATATTCCTCACCTCACCACAGCGCCGCTGAATATTCGCTCGATAATCCTGCTTGATAAAGCTGGAGACAAAGAAAACATGAAGAAAATGAACCTACAGGTCACAGGAATATCTAAATACAGCTCTGCATGCTGAATGCACAGAAAGCCATTTCCCACTGCTAAAAGCAAGCTCTCTATCTAGCCACTTTATTGGTTGCTGTTTGGAAGCCCTCGAGAAGCAGAAAAGGACAATTCTCCCATTGTGTCCGCCTTTGCATCCTACCCAGCATTGCATTTCACAAAAAATATGGCAACGGTATACGATCTGGATTCTTGGGCGATCCTACTCCTACTTTTCTGCAGTAGGACGTGCCACAAAACCAAATCCTGCTGATACAAGGAGGCTCTACTTCATGGTGTGTTGCAAAGGAGTTCAGGCATCAAGCAAAAATTACACATCAAATCAAGGCCTTCCCAAAATCTCTGCAAGACACTTCTTAGCAGAGTACAAGCCATGGCGATCCCGTTGCAGGAAAGACCAATGAAAAGAAAAAAAGAGCCCTGCTTTAGGTGAGCGGGAGGGCTTTGCCAGCCAGAAAACACGTGGGAGAGATTGTACAGTAGGGACACACAGGTCAAGCAGCAAGTGCCAGCCTGAAGCAGGGTTTCCACACTGACCTGACTGCTAACACACTTCCTTTAGACCCCCCCATTAGCTCCTTCTATCCATTCTCCCTCACCTCTGTGGTCCCAGCATACCTCCCTGCTGGCAGACATGTCCTACACCACCCCTCAAATCCCCCAGCACAGGCTGGCAGGCTCCTGTACATCGCACTGACTGTGTCTCCCTTTCACCCTGCCCACAGCGCCACTGCTCTACGTCCTCAGCACCCGGTGCTCCCAGGCGCTCTCATTACAAATGCTCCAGCCCCATTCTCCAGCCCTCCCAGCAGAGACCAAGCCTCCCATATCACCCAGCCAAAGCCAGGCACTTCTCATCCTTACCCCATCCAGCCCTCCGAGCCCCGTGACTGCCACACTCACCACCCCCCCCCCCAAGCATTCCCATAAATGCCTGCACTCAGGGCACAGAGGCCACTGCTCCGCTCCAACATGCACATGTACCGGCAGCACTGTCATCCTCACACCCTCTTCCTTCTTTCTCATTTCAACCCACTTGGATCTTGGCTCTACAAAAAAGTTGTCCCCACCTGCTGATCTCCAGCAATTCCTGACAACTTGTCACACCTCAGATCCCTGTAACCCTACACACTGCAGCAGCTCGCCATGCATTTCACCCGTCCTGGCACCTCCAGTCATATTTTGTGTCCAAACATCCCCTACTTCTCCAGGCTCAATTCTCTATCCTAGACCAACTTTCCCCAAAAATGAAGCAACCATACAAAGGAGTTCAAGAAGGCTTTGTCTTCAGGGTTAAAACATGCTGGTCCATAGCCCAAGCTCTTGACCAAGACTTTGAATCATGATTTCTAATTGGTAAGCTCGTGGGCGTATTGTGCTCTGAGAACAGGGATAATCCTAGAACAGCCAATATGACTGGGTGTCTCCACCTAGCCCAGCATACGCACCGTAAGAACAGTGATATACAGCGACACTTCCCAGCTCAACAATTTGCAGAGCACGAACTTCCTGAGCCAGAGGAAGTGCCTTTGGATTTTTTAGCCCTTCATGGATTTGTATGCCATTAACTTATCCATGGCCCTTCAACCCCCTGAACGCATTTAGCATCTGCTCAAGAAGCAGCTTGGAGGCAGCATACCTTGATCACTGTACCTAGCCAGATCCTTCTGGCTGATGTAAAGATCATGGTCAGTATCCAGCTCCCAGAATTTACAGTATATGACATAGAAATGCTCATAGGAGAAATAATCTGTGATCTGATTTATGTCATCCTCTTCTTCCAAGAGAGCAAGAGTCTGAAATGGTACAGATAAAAGTGGGAAGTTAAATCTAGACAGAGAGGCACTCCAGCAGTTCAAGTCCTACAACCTCTGTGGAAGCTGGGTGAACATAGCTCTGTGAGCTAACCCAAAGTGTAACCTTTCCTCGCTGTAGGAGACGTTGTTGCTGCACGCCTCTTCATTTAACAGGAGATTGTGCAGTATCTGGCTTGGCTATCCTGGTGGCATGTGCACAATACCTCCCCCAGTCCTGTGGGCAATTCCTGTGAACGTTCAGCTGTAGCGAAGAGCAAGGCAGAGGCACAGGAAGACAACAGCAGCCTCAGCTACGGTCCGTTATTTGTGAAACATCTCTGACCTGCACAAGAGCCTCCCAGAGCCATTTACCACTGAAAGTCCACAGATCTCTGTAGGAACTGAAATGCATATTTACACAACACGCAACCTTGTTTGACTCCCGAAGTGCAAGATCGAGTCTTGCTCCAGATTCATGCCTGGACTGGGGAGGGAGGGATCCAGGCAGATCGTGCCAATCACACTGATTTCCCTGCACTGTTGGTGACAGGAATCGGTTTAACTAGGAGGCTTGGGCAAATCTCTAACCATGACTTCTTTTAACATACCCTGTTAAAAAACATTTAGCAACGATGTCCTTGTTTCGTTCCCTTTCTACACCTATTTCCGTCCTTCCCTCCTCTCCACTCTATCTGCATCGTGTTTGCCAGCACCCCCCGCCCACCCCCGCTCACCTTTCCCCTAGGGCTGAGGCCATGGGACACCAGACAGCCCTTTTCAGCCTAACGAAGCAGGTCTTCAGGAACCAAAAGACTCAAGCCAGCAGACTGAAGCGAGCTATGGCTCTGTCCTGGCTGCTCTCTCAGCCTCCAGGAAGGGAAGGGGTAAGGCGCAGGTGAAGACCTACCCCTGGGGTCATGTCTCTGGGCAGGTAGGCTTAGTGGGCCTCCTATCCATAAGCATAAAAGTAGGTGTCATGCCCTATACAGTCATTCCATAGGTCACTGCCAACTTTCAGTTGTCCCCACATCTTAGGAACCCATTTGCATCAGCACAAAGCTTACATCTTGCTAACCGCTAGGTTCAGTGAAGTTTCATGCAGGGACAACAGGATGGGACTGCCAGACCTGCACTGTCCTGACTTGCTGAAGCAAGATTTCTGAGCAGTCACTCACCAGCCTCTCAGACTCTTCTTGGTTCCCTCCCTCCCTTTCTTTGCAGCTGATATTCACTTGGGGAGTATTTCCCCCCCCCCCAATAACTACTATTTTTGTTATAGCCCATGCCAAAATATGCCGTTCACACTCTTTTCATGCACAGGCACGTGCAGCACATAGCAACCCAAGCAAAAGTTACAGTCCAGGAGCTGAACTTCCCTGCTGCAGGAGATGAAAGGCAGAGTAGGCATGCAAGGACAGAGAGGGAAAGAATATATAAAGGGAGAAAACGGGTCATCAAAGATGCAGGTGAAAGCTGGGAGGATTGGTTTATAACAAGGTGGGGTAGGCAGGAATACAGATCAGAGGGCTTGGACCAGCATGCGACACTCAAAGAGAGTGCTGGTTTTTGGATTAGCTGATGTGACCAGTGGATAGAAGAGATCTGAAAGGACGAAGAACATGAATTCATGCTTGAGGTTTTAGAAGAAGAAAGCACACTACGTCTGGAGGGGAGAACAGGATGAAGTAGAGAAATCTCACTGTTTTAGCCAAGTCCTCACCTTGACCTTTCAGCCTAAAGATTTTCTGGCTTCTTAGGTTGGGCTGGAGTTGAGCAACCTTAGACAGTTTTAACTTAGTGCTTTTTTGGGTAGAACATACAAAGAACAGGGAGATTCCTAGCCTGAAATCTCTGCCCAACACAAGGAGACATCACAGGGACTGTAGTAAGTACTAAGCTTCATTCATTGCCTTTCCGGAAAAGTTTACTGCAGAATTGGAAATCAGCTTCTGCGACATGCTGCCTTGCAACTGGACTGCACAAGGCTGACCAACAGGCCAGTGGCTGGCTGGGAGTCAGGAAATTGGCTGTCCTACCCACCGCAGATTGCAGGCAGCCCACCAGCTATTCTTGGCTGCTCAATGAGCTGCTTGCCTTGGGCACCCTGCAGGGTCCCACTTCCCTTTCTCTGCACTTTGGCTCCTGATCTAGCCAACCTGCCTGCTGGAGCTTCAGCCCTAGCGCGTGCACTCACGACTCGACCTTCTGCTCAGTCCACTCTGGGCCCCGGTCTTCCCGCCTAGCGACTCTGACACCTAACTCACTCCTGCCTCCAGTTCTGGCCCTACCCAGGCACTCAGCACTTGGTCTACACCACCCCAGCCCAGGCACAATTCCCTCACTAGATGGTATACACCTACAGGAACAAATGCATCTACAAGCTCTGTTCCCTGTTCAGGCAGAAACCAACATACTTGCAAGAAGTTGCTTTTCCTCAGCTCTGTTAGAGTGATCTTCCCAGACCAGGATCGATTGACTGTGTAGAATATTCTCTGTATAACCTGCAAGACACAAACAGTTTTCTTGAAATCAACTGCTTAAGGGTACCAGTTTGGGAATTTACATAGAATAACTTTATTTGGTTTATTCACTCATCCTAAGGGGACTTCTTTCTGAAAGTTGTTTTGTGAACGTTCTTGTATATACTGTTTTCCTTAATCCACTATGCAGTTTGAAAGTAGTATATTTTCCTGAAACAGTGTTATTCCCTTCCCCTCTGCTCTTACTTCACATCTTTGAGTATGCAGTTATATTATTCATGTCAGGGAACATGTTCAAAGTGCCCCCAAATCACTTTGAAACTGAGTTTTTCCAGCTTTGGGCACTGCAGCCCACATGGATCTCAACTGATTTAGTGTTCTGTGCTTCGGAAGAAATCAGGACTTTTGAAGAGCTAACGTGGCACGCAAATGAAATCCATGAGTAACGTCTGTTCCACTACAACAATGCCTCATCTTCTTGGTGGCTCCACTGCAAAGTGAGTGGTAGAGATTACCTGTCCGCCCTTATCTTAGGCCAGTGTTTATGTCATTCATCTTCTTTACTGATCTGCCTCTGGTGAAATGGGAATAAAAAGTACAGTGGGGGAACGCACACACTTCTGAGATCTCAAGAGGAAAAGTAATAGCATGAGACTGCGTTCTGCCGAGCACCTAGAGGTGCTGGCTGAACCCCTCCTAGTGCACTCCGTGGTAGCTTATCAAGTATCATTGCTAGGCAGGGAAAACCCAAATGCATGATCAAGCACATGCAAGGATTAACTTAATGGGGCAAAGAACAAACCAACATCGCTAACAACATGACGTCTTCAACGAGATAAATCAGAGGTATAATTAATGGCTATGAGCACTGAATCTACAGAATATAAATCTTGTCAAACAAACCTAATACAAACAAACTTTTAAGTCTCTGACATCACGTTGATGTATTAAACTAGGATTTTGGTAAACCTTACTAGTGCACTCTATTCCAACATTACAAAACGGTTCAGATATCATAAGGGATTAATCTGGAAAGCAGATAGACTGGAATGGGTTTCTTTCAAAGCTAGAACATAGCTTCACATGAGCAATCACCGTTTAAGGGCCGTGCTTTGACTCAGTCACACAAGAGCCAGCTTTTAGTCCAAAACATATAGCAAAAATTGTATACTTTGTTCCAGATCCTAACAATCTGCCTTAGATACACAGATTGATAACATAGTTTGTGCTCATCAGCATTTATTATTGAGGGTTCAATAACAGCAACAAGAAAGATTCGGGGACTCAAAGCCTATCCTGAAAAGAACGAACTACTATATTCCACTCGGCTGAACACTTGGCATGACACCTATTGGTGGCTATCCTGGTGCTTAAAAGCCTGCACAGGGAGATGTGAGGCAGCAGGACTTTTCACCTCCCATAAAGTGCATAACTGGAAGCTGAAGAGTTCAATTCAGACTGACAAGAGTGCAGGTTTTTTATGCTGTCAGTGATCAACCACTGGGACAACCCCCAAAACAACACTGAGGGCTCTTTATCATTCCAGACACTTCAGTCAAGAAGGGTTGTCTTTCTAAAGCTGGTTGTCAACTCAATAAATAATAGACTCACTAAGTTAACCCTAGTCAACTATAGCAACCACTGAGCAATGTTCTGTGGCCTGTGTAATACAAGAGGTCAGACCAGGTAATCACAATGGTCTTTTTATAGTCTTAAACACCATGCAAAAGCTGTATCCATATTTCTTGGTTAACAGCTCTGGCAGCCATTGCCATTCCGGTCTCTATTTCTGGCCTTTGCTTCCACGTTGCAGACTGACTCTGAGACTGAAGTGGGTCTCACCTCACACAACCCATTACCACAGCTGCTCACTCCGTAGCAATCCTTCAAGATATGGATGGGGTTTTCACACCATCCCAAAGGCTCAAAAATAAAAATCCCACAAAAGAGAACAAGGACCCTGACAGGCAGCTGACTTCTTTTCCTCTGCCCGCAGGGTAAAAGACAACAAAACATCTCCCCATTTGTGACTTGTAAGAAACTGCTCCTAAGTAACACCATACTGCTAAAGGGAAAGATGTTTGCTCTGCTCTCTCCTCAGCTAGCTGTAGAAGTAAAGCAGGTAGATAGAGGTAAAATGGTATCTCTTTTCATCTATTTTCTTTCCCATCTCCAGTCACTGAGTGCAGGCTTTATTATTCAAATCAAGTTCCAGTTTCAATGGATAGTATGCAGTGCATTTATCAGGATAGAGTGTCAAAGCTTTTCTATCCTTTTCAGGTTGTAAAGTCAAGCTGTCAAAAAAAGAATTTGGGAAACACATACTAAAACATCATTATATGGCCTGAGATGATTTGCACTATTCAAGCCACAGCCTTAGTATCTAACTATAACAGAAAATTCACTCCTGTGGTCTCCCTGCTTTGTGTCCCTCAGTGAGGGCACCAGCTGCACGATCTCATCTTGGAAACCAGGTGAGTAAGTGGTCTCAGGCACACGCTGCTACAAGCACTTTTGCTCAGCAGCCGTGGCCCTGCTCAAAGCCATAACTGTGACTCCATTTTTCCCACCACGGAAACTATTTATTCTGAATTTGGTACATCAGCCTTTTTGTAAGTGGAGGCCCCTTCCTATTTCCCCAACATCCTCACGTTATCTACCTCCAACACCAAAACCAGTCATAGGTCAGCTCCCGACCTTTTCCCAGTCTTCTCATGGAAGAACAAGAACAATACAATTTCTGAAAATAATAAAAACGGCTTTATTAAACCCTGTGGGGCATCGTCCCCTTTCACATTGGCAACACTGCACAAGACAAAGCATTTTTCTACAAGCAATACATTTTGCTAAGTTGTTTTTAGTTGGTGACTCCTTGACTCAGCTCTTCAACAGTGAGCGGTGCTAGTTCAGCCTTGCTTGCACCCGCTGGGAGAAGCCACCTTTTAAAGCTTTTACATTAAATGCCATGTGATGTTCTGCATACTCTTCACCAGCTTTAGGAGTTGGTCTCTGTTGAAAGAAATACAGGTAGTTTAATATCCTGGCAATACAATGGCTCACAGATACCGCTACAGGTTTTAGTACAGCCCATTGTATCCAAAAGGTACCTCTAAAAGGTGCAGATGGAGGCAAAGAAGAATTTAAAACATGCACACACATCTTATCCATACTAGACTGTCAGCTTACTCTCCAGGTGATTTCAACATGTGATGCTGTATCCAGCAATGAACACAAAAGCCAGTGTCTCCTTATGGCCCTCATCTGCAACACAGAAATAAAATGTGATTTTTGCACTTGCAGCAAATATGGCACTCTGTTGCTGTAAGTAGATATAAGGCACTCTACCTTGGAGGGATCAAAAGGATCCAAGTAGTCTCAAAATCCAGGGACAAAGCTGTTTCCTTCATTACCTCCTGGTGGAAATACTACACTTCGTTAAAGAGAGAGAAGTGCCAAATTGTCTGTGAAAGGAAACGTGAGAGCAGAAACTCCTGGTGTCAGAGAGGAGAGCCACTGCTGCAGCGGGCCAAGTACTGCCACTTCCAGTGGGAACAACCTGACCCAGTGGACTGTCTCCTGAGGTCTTGACTCTGCTCCAACAGAATGGTCCAGCCAAGGCCAAGCTCAGGAGGAGTTTGTCTGTCAGCACAGACGCCCAGAACAGCAGTGTCCTGTCGGCGTGAGGAGTCTGTGAAGGATATCGCAGCTTTGTAAGATTCTCCGCTACACACCATTCACCTCAACCACCAGCACCACCATTTCCTGGCTGTCTGGGAGCAAGCCTAGGAAGCCACCTCTGACGCAGTACTCTGAATGAAGGTGCCTAAAGGCTCAGACTGAAGTAGGAAAGCACAATGGAGACAAGTGGAGTTAAGAAGCACAGACAAACTTCATGTACACATGAAGGGTCCAGTTCTGCTACTTTATGTAGACCCAAGTGCAGAGAGCTACTAAAAGAGTGGTCTCATTCCCACCCTTGGGAATGCTCCTCCTGTTATGCACTCAATCCAATCAGGAACTTGATCCAGGTGAAATATATATATATATATATATATACACACACACATACACACACACACACATTACCTCATCTTCCTCGATGGTCTTTGCAGCGAGGAAGAAGAAGCTGA